AATTTCTTGGTCAAAGAACTTAAACTTTAGTAGATAACTGCCAGCACTTTTTCAAAGTGATTTATCAATTAATCATTCCCATTAGCAGGATATGAGAATTTCTCTGTCCTACTCTTTGCCAATACTTGGTATTGTAGGACTTTAAAATTTTTGCCAATCTGATGATGTATAGTGACATCTGTTTGGTTTTAATTTGCATTTTTCCAATTACCAGATTTCCCTGTCTCTGAAATGCCTATTCAAATATTTTGCCTATTTTTCTGTAGTGTTGCCTGACTTCCTTTCCTTGGTCTGTCAGAATTCTTTATATATTCTGCATATTAATCCCTTTGTCAGTTTTATATGCTGCAGATATTGTCTACTTTTAGATTGTCATTTCATTCTTTTGATGACCAGAATTTCTTAATTTCAGTGAAATCAGATTTATTGATCCTTTCTTTTATGGCTTATCCTTTCATACCCCAAGATCATGAATATATTCTCTCATATTCCCTTGTAAATTTGCTACTGAAATTTATATCTTTACTTAAAACTTATTTTCGTGAAGCATGTGAAGTAGGGAATATCTCTTTTTCACTTTATATATATTGTGGTTATCTTTCTGATCAACACATAACAATTTAACTCATTATTTTTGACAACTACTGAATTGCCCAGTTTTCTTTTGATGAATATTTTTTATTTCCATCAGTTTGTCAATACAAATACTGCTCTAATTAATATTGTGTGTATATCTTTGAGTATCCATGCTAGTATTCTATGCTGGAGATTTCTTGAAGTGAGATTACTGGGTTAAAAGGTACACACATTTCAATTTTTGGTAGATACTACCAAGTTGTATTTGACTTTTACCTGCAGTGATAAGGATGCTGATTTCTCTCATTCTTATTTTTATTTTTTTTTCAACGTTTTTTTTTTTTATTTTTGGGATAGAGAGAGACAGAGCATGAACGGGGGAGGGTCAGAGAGAGAGGGAGACACAGAATGGGAAACAGGCTCCAGGCTCTGAGCCATCAGCCCAGAGCCTGACGCGGGGCTTGAACTCACGGACCGCGAGATCGTGACCTGGCTGAAGTCAGACGCTTAACCGACTGCGCCACCCAGGCGCCCCCTTTTTTTTTTTTTCTCTCATTCTTAATAATATCATAATACTAATCAGTTTAATTCGCTAATTTACTTTTAATATGACATTTAAAAACTGCTCAAGGGAGGAATCAAGTTCTGTTTGACACTGACACTGGTGTCATCTTCAGAGATCAGTGATCAATGGCCAGGTCTCCAATAGCCCCATCTCCTTCCACTTTGATAGGCAGTGGGCTTCCAAAATGTAAGGATTTGTTTGAAACTTTCTAGTATTAGGAAAATTGTATCCTGCTTTCCTTCCTCTTCCTATTTCCCCACGAGTTGACATTGAGTCGAAAGGATTGAGAGGTGTGATTATCTTGGTCTTCATTTCACTTCTCTTGTCTGTTCTCAACCCCTGCTTCGGCTCTAGTTGATTCCACAGTGACCCTCGTTTAAGGAAGGTCATTCTTTTGAAACTTACTGGTTTTCTTCACACTGCCCTTGAAATGGTCACAGGGACACTGCTTCTTTGGCAGCCCGGGCACTGTCATGAGTTTTCTTTTAGGAGCTCTCAGGAACCAGTCTGAAATAACAGGGTTGCTGCTCAGATGGGAAGATTAATGTGTTTCAGAGTAGGGAGTAGGGCAGGGCTTTACTTGCCATCTTTCTTGCCTTCCAGTTGATCACACTGCAGTGGGGGCAGGGAAAAAAGTCAACACAGAACAGTAGAGATACCCATTTACGTGAACACCAGGATTTCTGACTTGTTTTGCCTGACCTGTATTGGCAAGAATTTGATGGCAGGTTTGGAAGAGGCATGAGGATATCATTAAGGAGACCAAAAAGTGAAGAAAAGATCTAGGTGTCTGCCTTGGCCAAGCATTTTGCCTAATTTCAGTCTTATTTATGAATATAACAAGGTTGAAAACAAGATCCAGGAAATTTTTGGAAGGCAGCCCTGGGTTCTTGGGGAAAAGCGTAAGGGGGAAGTGGCAGCCAGAGATTCAGCCAGCTCCCCCTGAACCTTGGGGGTTCAGCTCTTGCCTGAGACTCAAGAAGACAAGAGTTGGTGCTGCATGCGGTGGGCTGGTGGGAGAGGGCAGTGGGTGAAGTCATCCTAGAAGATATCTGCATTGGCGTCAGGGGGACTCAGGGGAGAGCTGGATTGTGACCTGTGTACTGCTATTGTTGATACTGACCTTTGCACTCACATTCTTGGCTGCCTTCTTGGAGCCACCTCCTAGGAGCCTGGCGTTGGTCCCGATGGCCTCTGGCGACCCCTGGTGGAAGGAAACTGGTCACTTCCAGGCACTGGAAAGGGAAGGGACCAACAGAAATGCTCCCCCAGCATTGTGCTACCTAGTGGAGTTTTTCCCTTCCTTTTTAGTCAGGGATCCTAGGGTACTTCGAGAGATGACTATTTTAAATGGATAAGGAAATGAGGTTTAAAATCTGGAAAGCGGGGCGCCTGGGTGGCTTGGTCGGTTAAGCGTCCGACTTCGGCTCAGGTCATGATCTCACCGTCCGTGAGTTCTAGCCCCACGTTGGGCTCTGTGCTGACAGCTCAGAGCCTGGAGCCTGTTTCAGATTCTGTGTCTCCCTCTCTCTCTGCCCCTCCCCTGTTCATGCTCTGTCTCTCTCTGTCTCAAAAATAAATAAACGTTAAAAAAAATTAAAAAAAAATAAAATAAAATCTGGAAAGCTTAGCTGGAGGTAGGTGGAAAAAGAATGGCTTCTGGATGGAAAAAAGGACAAAAGGTGGGCGTTTAATTAAGACCTGACAATATACTCCCCACCCCAACATGCATTAAAATTCTCATGACTTAAGGAATGAGAACAAAGAGCAGATTATTATATAAACTAGTTGGGATCTTCACCTGACCTTTAAGTTCCCATTTGAATCCATAATCCCAGTTCAGCTATAAGAGGATGGTATTTACCTTTGTGCCTCTGGAACAAATCCATTACTCTTTTGGCCTCTAGTCAAGTTTGTCTTATCACCTGATGCTGTCTTACTCCAATTTTGTGATACTTAAAATACTTTTATGACTATCAAGGATGGTGGATTGTAGACTTGAGATTCTGGAGCTAGAACTGGGCCTGGATGATGCTTGTCTGTACAGTAGTTTCTGATATTTCCTATAAGAATTAATTATGCCTTCACATGGTTCCCCGTTGTATCTGAATGCAGCTCTCTTAATGCACAGTTATACAATATAGTTTGTTGTTTGAAATCTGTTGTGGACTGAATCGTGTCCACACACCCCCACCCAATTCATGTTGAAACCCTAACTCCTGGTACATACCTCAGTATGACTGTATTTGAAGATAGGGTCTTTAGAGATGATTGAGTTAAAATGAGGTCATTAGGATGGGTCATAATTCAGTCCGACTGGAGTCCTTACAAGAAGAAGAGATTTGGGCAAAGAGACACCAGAGATATATGTGCACAGAGGAAAGATCATATGAGGGTATAGCAAGAGGGTGGCCATCTGTGAACAAGAAAAAAGGCCTCAGAAGAAACTAAACTTGTTGACATCTTGATCTTGGACTTCTGGTCTCCAGAACTGTGAGGAAATAAATTTCTGTTGTTTAAGTCACCCATTCTGTGCCATTTTGTTATGGTTGCCCTAGCAAACTAAAAATCTTTCTCTGACACCAGACTCTGAACCAGTGGCTCAGTAGTCATTCAGCTACATACAGCTGACAGATGGTAGGCACTTGGTAAATGTTTGTTAATGAGTGAATGAACAAGTTGTCTAGAGAGGGCCCTCAGAGATCATCTGGTTCAATCCAGGTCTCTTTCCCAGACTTGTGCCCTTTCTGCCACACAGATGGAAGGTGTTGCATCATTTCCCCAAGTGCTAGTTTTCAAATGTTCTCATGTTCTGTTTTGAGTGCTGTTAAAATAATTTAAACAAGCAAACATAGCCCCTGCCATCTAAACTTTTCTAGTATTTTACTTTCATGTGACCTTTACTTGTAGTTGCAGAGGAAAGCCACAGAATATTAGAGTCAGAAGGAATTTTGGAGATTATTTAGTTGGATCCCTTTATTGAGAAGTTTTTCTACCCTAAATGTAATATACCTATTTTAGAGATGATTTGGAAGGTACAAATAAAGAAATCTTTACTTTTATCATCTGGGTGTATTTTGGTGTGTTTCCTACATATGATTTTCTTTATACAGTGATAACCATAGTATGTGAACACTTTTTTTTTGTTTTGTTTTGTTTTGTTTTTGGTTCATCTTATAAGTATGTTGCTATGTCATCTCCATAATGGACATTTTTATTCACTTTTTTAAAAAGTAGTCTCTACACCCAACGTGGGGCTCGAACTCGTGACCCCGAGATCAGGAGTCACATGCTCCACTGACTGAGCCATCCAGGCACCCCCATAACAGACATTAAAAAACTTTTTTTTAATGTTTATTTATTTTTGAGAGAGAGAGAGAGACAGAGAGACAGAGTGTGAGCAGGGGAGGAACAGAGAGAGGGAGACACAGAATCCGAAGCAGGTTCCAGGCTCCCAGCTGTCACCACAGAGCCCAATGCGGGGCTCGAACCCATGAACTGTGAGATCATGACCTGAGCCAAAGTCGGATGCTTAACTAACTGAGCCACCCAGGGGCCCCCATAACAGACATTTTTAATGACTGCATAACATTCCCAACTAGTGTGTGTGCTCCACATTATTTAACTGTTTGTCCATTGCTGAATATTCAGATTGTTTATTTTTGGGTATTGATAAATTCTTCCTGTTTGTTACTGTTTTCCAAATGTTAGATTATTGTCTTGGGCAAGATTTCCCAAAGTGGAATTACTGGGTCAAGAGTTAAGAACAGTTTTATGTTGCCTGATATTATTACTAAGTTGCTTTTAAAAGGGCTTCATGAATTAACTAAATCACTGTCTGCCTTTTTTTTTTTTTCAGATGAGAAAACTGAGGTCCAGAGAGAACAAATGGAATGCCCAAGTTCACAAAGGTAATGGGGATACATCTGAAGCTAAAACCCAGGTCCAAGTTTCTTAGTCTGTTGTTCTTTCTGCAGCCTTTAGAATCCTAATTCCACGGTGTGACTTAAAATGAAGCTGCATGTTACTATAGTATTATGTCTCCCAAACCTCAGACATTTCTGGATCACCTTTATCATTTTTGCTGTAGCTTGTACCACCTCTACTATTATTTGCCTCATACTTTTTCTTTAAGTACATTTAATTTACAAAACAGCTTCATCCTATGCAGTATTATCTGTGAGGTTATGGGTTTGGTACATATGTAGATTTTTTTCTAACATGCATTAACATAAACGTGTAACTATTAAAGTAAAAGCTAATTTATGCCCTACCTAAAATCAATTTTGGGAAATACTGATATAGCTGAATAAGCATCAATTTTACATGATCTGGGATCAACAACTTTCTCTGTCACTTAGCTTCTTTGATCTTTGGTTCTCTGGCTTGTAAAATGAGGATCATAGTGTCCATCTTTCAGAGTTAGGAATAAATGAGCTACTAGTGGTGCCCGATGCCCAGTGCCCAAGTAGGTGTTCAGTATACGACGATTATTGTGGTGGTTATTATTGTGGACTTCTATCACTCAGTCCCGAAGAGAGTGTCTATGCTAGAATGTTAGGTTTGTTGTTTTCTGGTGACCTGTATGTGAAAAGAAGTTACTTATTACACTTGTTAGGACTTGTGGTAGATCTGTCATTATTTTGACTTCCCAGTTCCACTACATATTAGCTTTATTATTTTGGATAAATTGCATAACTCCTATGTCCCATTTACCTAATTTGTAAAACGGGATTAATAATAGTCCATTTGTGTGTGTATGCATGCATCTGTTTCCTAGCTTTGTCCACTAGAGGGCCTAGAAGCACTCGCACCTAGTAGCCATGGGCAATACTTTAGTACTCATGGTTTGTGAGGACTATTCTCCAATGAAAGGAACCAGGGCTCCTTGGAGAAATGGCTGATTCCAAGGCGGGCCAGGGAAGTACAAGATAAGCCTGGAACATCTTGTGGTATCAGAAAGTCCAGAACTGCTAAAAAATGATATGTCAAAAAGACACAGAAGCCTGCTTGAAGGAGGTCTCAATGGTCAATTTTGAGACAATATGAACAACACAATAAATAATGGTAGCAATGGGTTATAATCCATAAATGTCCATGAGTCTTTACTCATATAAATAAATAATTCAAGGGGTGCCTGGGTGGCTCAGTCAGTTAAGCCTCTGACTTGGCTCATGTCATGATCTCATGGTTAGTGAGTTCGAGCCTTGCATTGGGCTCTCAGCTGTCAGCACAGACCCACTTTGGATCCTCTGTCTCCCTCTGTCTCGCCCCTCCCCCACTGTCTCTCAAAAATGTATAAACATTAAAAAATAAATTAAAAATTCAATAAATAAATGGGAGAGAAGGAACAGCTTTTTTTTTTTTTTTAAAGTTTATTTATTTTGAGAGAGAGAGAGGGACAGGATCTCAAGCAGGGAGAGAATCTCACGGTACATGGGGATCGAGCCCCGAGCTGAGACCAAGAGTCGGACGCTCAACTGACTGAGCCACCCAGGTGCCTGGAGCAGCTTTTTCTTATAGAATTCCAGTTAATAAATGTGGAAGGAATGATGGAAATAGGAAATCATCATTTGGCTAATACCATACTAACACTTGTTGAAGGTGGGTGGGAATCCTCAATGGATTTTAAAAATTAATGGGCAAAAGTATGATGAGAAGAAACAGGCTATTTGCATAGTCTTAAAGTATCTCTCCACAAGATACTTATTAATTACAGTGGGAAAACCAGTAATTTTACACTAGAGAAACCTGGCAGACACCACCTTAACCAAGTGTTCAAAATTAACATCAGTAGTTGGGAATTCAGTATTACGGGCCGTCTGCTGTGATGCATGGAGAAGGCACACATTACTTTTGTGGTATTCTTGCCAGAAATGCATAATCTGAATTTAATCAAGAAGAAACATCAAGCAAATCCAACTTGAGGGACTTTCTACAAAATAACTGACCAGTACTCTAAAACTGTCAAAATCATGAAAGACAAGGAAGGCTGAGAAACTACCGTAGTTTGGGGGAAATCAAAGGAGATGTGATAACTTTATTTAGTGTAGCATCCTGGATTGGACCAAAAAGAGACATTAATGGGATGATTAGCAAAATCTAAATATTAGTACATTAGTTAATAGTATTATATCAATGCCTATTTCCTGGTTTTGATCATCGTATTATGGTGTTGTAAGATGTTATTTGAAAAAAACTGGATTAAGCATATATTGGAACTCTGATTATTTTTATCTATTTTTTTAAGTCTGAAAAATGAAACATTAATTAAAAAATATATTAGATTTCTGTGAGGACACAATGAGGCAATGTGTGTGAAGTGTTTAAATATTACCTGCCACATAGGATTGCTTAATACATTTTGGCTATTATTGTAGGTAATTTTATAGTTAATAATGATATTATGAGTAATTAATCTATTATTATAAGTGATTTGTTTCCTAACATTTTCATATATTCTTATCTGTTCTCCTCCCTTTCTGTGAAAAACACACTGTACATGTATGTGGTTATTTTGAGATAAAGTAAGATCAGATTTTATTTTGAGAATTTTTTTGGCAGGGGAAGGTGGGGGGGGGGGGGTGTCATTTCTTCTAGCCAGACTTGGGTGCTGCAAAACTCCTTGGCAGGGTTACACGAATTTGAGCCGGATGTGTCTGTAATAGCGCCACCTGGTGGCACAGAAAGCTTTCCCCAAATTCATTGCCATTGTGCTTTAGGAGCTACTGTAGGAATTTTACTCAGTCCACTTATTGAATCCTTGCTAGGTACACATTACAGATAATATTCACAACAATGATATATTCTAAGTAGCATTTTACTCCTTTTAAGATGATAAAACAGGCTCCAGAAAGCGAAGCAGCTTGTCTAGGGTTCAAAATAAGTGGTGGAGCCAGGATTCAGATCTAGGTTCTCTGGGCTTCAAGGCTGAGTTTACAGGTCCAGGTAAGTCTGAACGCGTAGCCAGGTTTGAGAACTATTGCTATAGAGCAACTATTGCTGAGAGCAGCACTCTCAGCTGGGGAGTGGTTTTCCCCTCCAGGGGACAATCGGCAATGTCTGGAGTTAACTCTGGCTGTCTTAATTGGGGACAGAGGTGAAGAGGCTGCTATTGGCATATAGTTGGTAGAGACCACACAGATGCTACCCAAACATCTTACAATGCACAGAATACGTTCTACACCCTACAACACAAAATAACACCCTGCCCTAAAGCGCTGTCCAGCCCCAAATGTCAACAGAGCTGCTATCAAATCCAGGTGTAGAGTTTTTAAAGGCAACACTTTGAACTTAGAAACCTGAGCATTTTATTCTTTTTTTGTTTTTATCTTTTATTTATTTAAGTAATCTCTATATCCAACGCGGGGTTTAAGCTCATGACCTTGAGATCAAGAGTTGCATGCTCCTCTGACCGAGACAGCTAGGTGCCCCATGAGCATTTTATTCTTTCACTTAGCAAATATTTACTAAATATTATGCTGGATAGTGTGACGGATATGGAGACAATATACCAGATTGTGCCACCAAGGAGGTTACAGTCTAGAAGGGCAGGGGGGTGAAGGTAGGAAAGGCACAGCAACACCTTCAGTATAAGACGGTATGTGGCAAGTGCAAAGAGAGAGTCAAGTTTAGGCCAGGCACATTCACAGGACAGAGGGCTCACATCTGGTCTTGAGAGGAATCAGGGAGGTCGTGAGGAGGAGGTGGATTCTGAGCTAAGAGTATGAACAAAGTCAAACTAGTAGGAAGGCATAAGAGCTGTTCAGGGAACAGCCAACAGTCTAGTTTAGGTGGAGCCTAGAGTACTTGTTAGTGAGTGGAGGGGTGGATTGGGAAAGGCAGGTTGTGGTTAGAGCTTTGAATCAAGGCTGAGGACTCTAACCTTGGTGTCTGTTGCAATGATGGAAAAGCCTTCCCTTCCAGACTGGTGGTCTAGGCCCTGATGCTATGGGCCCAGCACCTTCCAGAGAGCTCTACATGGAGGGAAAGTTTGAAATTGGGGTGGACTGAGGTAAACTTCTTATTTTAAGGACCAAGTTGATGATAAGTATGCAGCAAAGCTATCTTTCTCAAAGTAGCCTTTGGGGAGATGGTTCTCTCGAGTAGAAACATATATGGGATGAGCTTTCTTCTGCACAGTTGTTCTGCTAAGGGCTAGGCACTTGAGATGTAGTGAAAGCTGGAGCCTATTTGGAACCCTTAACCTAAGACCTGCTTCCCAAGAGATGAGCTTAGTATGGCTAAAACTTCCAATGTGAATGCTGTCTGGTAATATGATTTTTCTAGTTTATTACTTTATCATTAAATAGCGTTAAAAATTGTTGGTGGCATATCTGGTGCACTATAAAAGAATATAAGCAAGGACTTCTCTCTTCCTCAAATGTACAGTTGCCTTCAACACCTTTACTCCACCATCACCAAGACTGGCTCTTCTGGAAAGGGATTAGAGGGAGAAGGCAAGGGAGCAAATCTTTTAAATTTTTTAAATGTTTATTTTTTGAGAGAGAGAGAGACAGAAACAGAGCATGAGCAGGGGAGGGGCAGAGAGAGAGGGAGACACAGAATCGAAAGCAGGCTCCAGGCTCCGAGCTATTAGCACAGAGCCCGATGTGGGGCTCGAACTCACGAACCGTGAGATCATGACCTGAGCCAAAGTCGGGTGCTTAACTGACTGAGCCACCCAGGTGCCCCTGGAAGGGGCTACATTTTATTTTATTTATTTATTTTTTCAATGTTTATTTATTTTTGGGACAGAGAGAGACAGAGCATGAATGGGGGAGGGGCAGAGAGAGAGGGAGACACAGAATTGGAAACAGGCTCCAGGCTCTGAGCCATCAGCCCAGAGCCTGACGCGGGGCTCGAACCCACGGACCGCGAGATTGTGACCTGGCTGAAGTCGGACGCTTAA